AGGATGAACCAAGTTGTACATAATGTGTTGAAGTTTAAGCTTCTTGAGTATGTTTTCTGGGAGGGGATCATGAGGTAGAAAGTGTTGAAGTGAGGATAAACCAAGTTGTATATAATGTGTTGAAGTTTAAACTACTTCAGTATGTTTTCTGGGAGGGGATCATAAGGTAGAAAGTGTTGAAGTGAGGATGAACCAAGTTGTACATAATGTGTTGAAGTTTAAGCTACTTTAGTATGTTTTCTGGGAGGGGATCATGAGGTAGAAAGTGTTGAAGTGAGGATGAACCAAGTTGTATATAATGTGTTGAAGTTTAAACTACTTCAGTATGTTTTCTGGGAGGGGATCATGAGGTAGAAAGTGTTGAAGTGAGGATGAACCAAGTTGTACATAATGTGTTGTAGTTTAAGCTACTTATTGTTGTGACTTAGTTTTAAAGTTATATTGTAATGGAGCCCCATAGGTCACTTCCAAAAATGGACAAGCATAATTGTGGTTTATCTAGCAAACACCCAAAAATGAAGCAACTCCTTCCTCCATGGGTAAAAAGTTAAGGTGACTAAATACATTTAGTACCTATTTGAGTAAAGCTTGAACTGGAAAGTGTGTTTGTGTGTGTAGGACGTAATGTATACTGTGATAACTATACTTTTTTTTAAGGATTATTAGAGAATAAGTTAGCATAAAAAAAATTTATTAACATTTTTGATTGTGAGTGCGAGATATCTGTATATAGAACAGAAGAAAAATGCAGTAACTTGAAATTTTAGCTTAATTTTGCAAGAGATTCACCAGCTTTTCTTAGGACCGTTAGGATAATTGTGACTTTATGTATGGAAAATCAAATTTCATGTATATTGTAATGATTATTACTACTACCTGAAGCATGCACGGAAAGTTGTTTCCGTTAAGTTGTGTGTTTAATGTAACTGGCTCTGGAACTATATATTTGTGTGGTCACTTAAAAACAGCTCTAGTAACATAATTAATTAATTGTAATATTACATAGAAAATGAAATAAAAAAAAAAACAAACAACAACGTAGCTACAATACAGACATGTACCACATGGGCACACACTATAAGGTGGGTAGTTATACAATGTGCCCTGGTTTTTGAGGTACTGGTGGCAATTAGACCCAAATTGTGTTGCGGGTACACCTTCTATCTAGTTTAACCTCAGTTTTGCAGGACTCGCGTTCTTAATAAAAACAATAGTAAAAAAAGAGCAGATGTGGGTGCTCTAGCCCACAACATCCCACATCTTTAGCACCCTTTACTGTCTGCAGCCAGATGCAGAAAGTTTTTTTTTAAGAAAGAAATAATTGGAATACATACATCAATGGGGGAGACAGTAAAACTCTCCTTGAAGTTGGCATTCCAGCCCCCATAATGATGTTTGTACATAAATACCACAATTTTAAGGTATTACTATACTAAGCCCAACCTAAGTTGTTAGTATAGATCCAATCCATGCTACTGTCAAGATCTTCAAAGGTTCTGTAATAACAACACAGTAGCAGGTCATATACAGGGAAAATAATACATCTACATTAAAAATAATTACAATAATTTTCCCTACAAAAATGAGAAATTATTATCCATTGTGTTTAATATAATTTTGTTTATACTACTACTTTTTAAATTTACATACATATTTTGTATACTTATTACAAAATATGCATGTAAATTTTTTAGTTAGAATTATTTTATTAAATCCTTTAAAAATCAATCTATTCACTAATATGTTAATGTTGGAAATTAGGAACTGTTCAGTGCTATAAATTCTACAATATTTGGGTATCTGTAAATGTATGATGCTCTATATGGCATTATTTGGTACATTACTGTTTGGCAAGGGAAGTCCAAAAAATTGAAATGTAAAATCATTTTATCATAAATATTAATATTACAATAATTATTAATTATCTTAATAACTAAATAATGTACTTCAATATTAGATATAAAAGTGTTTTCAATTTGTAGAACTGTAGGATAAATATTACTGATATAATTACTTATTAATGGAGTATTGATGCTAATTAAATCATCAATATATCTATAAGTCAGATTTCTGGATTTGAAAAATTATTTATAAATTTATTTTCATAATAGTAAAGATATAAATTAGCAATGCTGTTTGAATAATTTGCACACTTTGGTATACTTACTATTTGTTGTTACTTTTTTTTACAAAACCTGCAGATGAGGTGGATATTCTGGGTTATAACAGCAATCAAAGTGACACGGATGACCACAGTAGCATCCAAAGTATCACTAGTGATGGTGGGGTCACCATCAGTACCAAACGGTTGACATTAGAGGAACCAGGAGCAGTATCTGTCTAACACTGCCTACCCTGCTCAACCCAACCACCGAGAATGACCTTTTCCCGACTTCAAGGTTACAAGTTGTGATGATTGGTTACTGTAAGAATGAGATCTCTGCCATCCAGTATTGTGATGGTTTTTTTTTTTTGTGTGTGTGTGTGTGTGTTTTTTTTTTTTTCCCAAAAAGTTGTATCTATTTATCCTTTTTGAACATTGAGGGGAACAGGGTGGGCTCTCACATCATTTCAGGTGTCTGTATCAAGAATTTGAAGAAATGTATTTACTCTTCTATGTGATGTAATCCCTTCTCTGGCTAACTCCAAGCGAGGATGGAGAGGGTGTTCTTTGAAAGTGAAATTTTGTGGCCACGTTTTATTCATAGAATTTTTTTTATATAAACATAGTTGTAACAGATAAACAGATGTATATTTAATATAATTTTAAAAATACTGCTGGAGCAGTGACCCTTGAAATATATATAAAAAAGAAATGAACATTTTAAAAGCTGTTTTGAAATCAATTCTGGCCAAAGGATTTTTTTAATGTAATGTATAAATTACAAGCTGTAAATGCTAATGTTTGGAAAGTATACATATATTTTTTGTGTGTTACCCGTGAGTGAGTAATTCTAAAATTATTTATTTTAAATGTAAAATGTTTTGTTTTACTGCATATTGATTTATATTTTGGCAGATTGCCAATGCCTTTTTTGGCTTTGTATATTCTGTATTTTAATACTCTGTGCTGACCAGCTCTGAAACCGAAATGGTTTTAACCAAGAAATTAAGATCTCTTCAGAAGCAGTACTGTCATCATTATACTGTAACTTTTTATTCTTAAGAATTCTCCTTTAACTCTCTCATAAGTAATGCTTCTTTCTAACATTTCTTTTTTCCGTCTAGGCATGTTCCTCTCGTTCTTTAAACTTGTACATTTTGTGGTCGGGTAGCTTGGATGAGCTTGATTCCGTATGTAATTTTGAAAGGAAAACTAAAATAATTTTCCTTCAACATTGAAATTTGTAATTACTTTTAATGTAAAGTTTTTGTAAATCCAGATTTCATGTTTAGATATAGATATTCTTTACAGTGCGTTTTGTTTTAATGAAATAAAAAAAAAATTCCCCAGTTTTCATAGTAACATATACTGATAAAAAATAATGGTTTGGTCCATGACCCAGATCCCCAAAATTTCCCATCAGCACCACTTGGGTATGTAAAATCTACTGTTCATTTTCTGAAAGGTCAGAGTTTGTAATTTATGAAAATGCCTGGTGTGGACATGTCAAGTATGTAGATTAGTGGTTGAAATTCATTGTGATGGCAACCAAGCACTGTATTTCAAAGATGTATCAAAAAGCATAAAATGGAATATCTGGGGCACTATGAAAACTATATATGTAATTAAAGGATTATATTGTAATGTATTATGTTTCTGACTACTCGGTGATCATAAGATCTTGGTAATCAATGTTCGAGATCACTGGCTAAAATGAAGATCAAAGGGAAAAATACAATTTATTTAGATAAAAGATCTGTTTGTTACAGATTACTCAGATGTGTATTGTACAAAACTCTTAAATGATCATAAACTTGATAACAGCATAGAATGTTTACTTGGTTTATATTTTTTATTCCTTAGCTGGCTGGATTCAATGTTTCCTTTTTTGGCAAAGAATAGTTAGAAACTTAGTTCATTTGCCATTGTGATATCTGATCCAGCTTCTGAAGTGAACAAAAAAGTGCCAGTGTTCCCTTGCTGTACTAGTGACTTTCAAAGAGTCTTGTGTTTTATAATCAGTTGTAAGTCCACCAGTTTATCTCTTTTCCAACCATACTCTCAGAGTATATACTGTGAAGGCATGTAGTTGTAACAAGCTTTCACATATTTCTCATCGGTTTGTTGACATAACTAACATAGATTTGATAAATTGCCCGTAGAAATCTAGGGCAGGAATAATACCATCTGTATCTCCAGATACTACAATAATTGCATCATGGTTCTTTGATGCATTTTTTAAATGTAACAGTATTCTTGTATCTGCCTTTTATTATGATATCATCAGTTCAAAAATTGGAAATGCTTTTTCTCTGGTCAGCTTCCGACAATCCTCCTGCCGCGTGACATACATGACTTTCTCTCCTAATTTCTCTAAGTAAGGTAGGTTCTTCCATTCATTACAAAAAACTTGATAAGAGCTATCTTGATGCTAGAACACCCTAGAATGTACCTCCATTGCACTATGCTTTGGCCAGGTACAGTATTGCTCACTAGCTCTCCAGAGCTGAATCTTCTTTTTTATTTTTGTGCATTCTTAATTGAAATGTCCTTGAACACATCAAACACTAAATCTGTCCTGTTGCAGTCAGT